CTCTTAGTTTCCCCTCCCAATCCCGGCCCTCGGTCATTTCCCCTCCTTGCATCTCTAACCGATCTCTTAAAACTTGTTAGAGAAGTAAAAATTCGGTTTTGAGGGGCTAGACCGCGCCTAGCCGATTCCTTATCCTCGGCCACTCGGCCCCTTATATCTGCTCCTCCGCAGCCGTGATGAGCATGAATTTTTCGCCTCCATTCTCGCCCACCGCTCTGCCCGCTAGGTATTTAAACCTCACCCGTCCAAACCAACAGGAACAGCAAACAGGCTACGAAAACGCTCCCAGCTACTGCTACCCTACAATTCTCGGTGTCAGGGACAGAGGAGCAAAACGCACCAGAAAATGGAAGGTACCAACAAGCAATATCCTGGGTATGACAAGAACAGGGCCATCAAGAGGCAACACATCTGGAAGGCAGTGGCCAATGCATAGCATAAACAATATGCGCCATGATCATCCCGGCGCGCAGGATCAGGCGAGGATCACAAGCAAGCCATAACAAACACGTACCTAACTTTGCTGAGTAACAAGATATCACGATTGCAGTTCCGTCTGCTCCACCACCGTCAGATCAACTCTCAGGTGCAGCACGCCGTCGATGAAGATGCTATCGTCAGCCATGAAGGTCTGCCATGGAACCCAAAAGAGGTACCTCGATCCGACTGGAAACTTGTCACTAAATGTGTGCCTACCATTTAACTTGCTTACAAACTGCCGCGATGGCCTTGTCCTTGCGGCAAACTCATAATCTACCGTCACACACGTTGAGCCCTTCAGCTCCAAATCGATATGTAACAAGAGGCCAAAACTGTAAGACTCCCCCTGATCGGCCTTGCAACATCTTGCCCCAAGAATGAAGCCCTGACCTGCGACATGGAACGGGTGCGAGAATATCTTTTCTGACGGGAAGAGTTGGGAGCATTCCTCATGCTTCAAATCCATGTAGGCTATAACCTGCGGGCGGGGTTGATCAAACGCAACCACTTTCAGATGTCTGTACTTGTAATCTCGCTCTGCAAATTGCTGACAGGAGGGGGCACATGCCGCAAGAGCACCTGGTTTGTGTGCTGGATAAGCTTTGCACAGAAGCACCCCATTGATACACTTAGTTACTTGCTCATGGTCTATGTCGTTAGCAGTGCATGCTAAGATCTCCTGAAGTGTCTTATAGGTCATATGGCTGAAGCGCAGGAGTGGAAGTAAATGAGAATTCAAGATCTCGCGCCTTTCCTCCAAATCAGGGTATTGAACACGGGCCCACTTGAGCATGAGCACGAATAAGTAATCTTCACATGCCACATGTATGTCAGTACTTGAAAGTATGGCTTTGATCCCAGCAAGAGAAATGCTTGTCACTTCCTTCCGGAGCCTGAAATAAGAGAAACCAAGCCTTGGGTGAATTTCATACATGATCTCTGATGATAACATATACAGTTATCCTAATAAGGAAATAAAAGGTGGTTCCATCCAATGGGGATCACTCACTTATTGTAATCCTTGTATTTATTGACAAGGAAATCCTTGGCTGCGCTTATCAAAAGTTGAACTTCAGCTGCCATTGACATGGCGCATGGATGATCTAGGCACAGCAGTGCAGATTCTGTGGTCCAAGGCAAACTTGTGAGCAACTGACAGCAATGCCTCATGCAAGAAACGACTTCAAATTTGTCCGCAGCCATCAAGATGTCAAGCAGAAGAGAGGGCTCAGTTGTGGTGAGTTTTCCACTGTACATAAAGTTTAAAAGCTCCATAAGGGCATTTTCATCTGTTCCAAGTAGAATGGAAACAAAAAGACACAAGGATTAAGGAAACACTTTAATAAAGAACTAAACAACAACAAAATGAATGTGTTTTCACGTGTAAATGGTTATTTATGTGTGACTATTGACTGACGGCATTGAGAAGAGCTGTCCGTACATAAGACTTAAGACAAGATATCCACTTGGTAGGTAAAATCAAAGAGGGAAAATAGACTAGCTATTTCATCATTGAAGGGAGTAACTCAGAAATATAAATCCCTTTGTTATGTATTTATTAATCATGTTCTTGTTTAAGAATATAGAAATGGTAACACGGCCACATAGCAAATTAGAATCCATTATAAGAGGAAATTTTTACATTTGAGTCGTCACATTACCTGAATCAGCAACCCTAAGTGTTGGATGTGTCTGATCAGATTCTTTCATGCCATTCGAGAAAAGCTAAGAAGCACGAAGCTTATTAGAAAGCATTAACTGACTATAAAAAAATGTATTCAACAAGGCTATAAGAATTACCTTGAGAAAGAAAGGACTTCTCACAGCAAGAATCGCTGAGTTGATATGAATCGTCTTTACTCGTAAAACTGGTCAAAAATACTAGGGTCAGAGAAATAACTAGACAAGTCATCTGCTGTTAAAAACACTTGGAGCACATGGTGAAGATTCATTTAATTAGTCTTCAGCAACATGGCAAAATATTGAAGGGAAGCGTTTAGAACTGATCGACCGGCTGAAACTCCGCCGGTCACGTCCACGCTGGCGATGGGCCCCACGCACCACCGCTTAACTCTCCTTTATCCTCTCACACGAAGCGCCCATGGCCGTTCATCCCACCGCTACTCTTTCCTTATCACCTCGCGCCTCTTTCCTTGTGGCTCCCAAATAACTTTCTCGTGGGCGATGACCGCCGGCGATCCTGGGCCAACCTGCCCGCCGTCTATCCCGCATCAATGTCCCCCGCAAATGGGCTACTTTGGGACGTACCCACCACCGCGCGCGGCAAGGGGGGAGGTCATGGCCTGCAGCGTCGATGAGGTGCCGTGCTGGAAACCTACCGGGGGATTCGCTTCAACAGGCGAGGATGGTGGTGGGCGGCGACGGTGGTGGCCACCATGATTTTTTTTTTGCTGCATCAGTTTTTTGCTGGAACCTTCTTTCAATTTTGCTACAAATTGAGAGAATTGTGGTGCTGTCACCGCCATGATGTTTATTAATACGTACAATAACTTAATGTTTCAACACATACACACAAAAAAAAAGGTGAACTACGAAATAAAATGGCAGATTAGTGCTTTGAACATAAACATGTATCATGGTTATTCAGACAGCGGATTTCTAGAGTTGTAAGGAGCGCCTCCCTCCACGCATCCTCTCCAATCGTATGAAGGTTCGTACGTATTTGCTAACTTCGTATGGAAAAATATGTTAACTACTTCAATTGTGAATAAAGCTTTGCACCATATCTCTCGGGCTCAAAACTTATGAATCCCCTGTTGAAACAAAATTAGCCCAACCATTGCTACACGCGCCGCAGATTCCCCCACAATGCAGCATCCGAATTGCGCCAAACATCATGTACTCTCTCCGATTCATATTAATTGACGCTGATTTTGTACAAAGTT